ATCTAATGCACTTATCTAGGAAACAGAATGCACTTATCTAGGAACAGAATTGAAGACTTATCTATTCTAACAGAATTAAAACTGAATGGATAAGGCTTATCCCAACTAAGAGCTAACATGACCGGGTCTTCTGCTGCTATCCACTTTGACCGGGTCTTCGGCTGCTGCATGCATGCACGTATCAAGTTCATATAGACTGAATCATTTTCTATCAATCAGAAAACTAAATAAAGAAAAAGTAGGAAAGAAAAAAATGTTCATTTAAAATAGTAATTTTTAAGTTTTAATGGAATTTATATTTGTTTCCTAGGCATACCCATGCATATCATAATTCTTCCACTATTTCCCAATTTTTCAGAGATATATCTCAACAATTTACAGTTTCACACTTCACACAAGCCATCAACATATGAATTTCTTAGGCTCAGTTTGGAAGGTGTATAAATACAAATATGTAGAGTGCAAAACCTTGTATTTTGTATTATTCTGTACGTATTTATACTGTACATATTTGTATTTACACTCTTTCCAAACTGAGCCTTATGCTTTTTTTTTATATATTTATTTTGAAAAAATCTATAATGCCAAAAAAACATGATATAGGAAAGGCTTTGACCAATCACAACCCTCCTTGAGTTTTGGTGAAAACCACCTGATTGATTCTTAATTGTATGATGCGAGATGATTGATTGTAAGTTTTTCCCGTATCATATCTTTCCAACATCATATTTCTTATAGTCATTTGAGCTTTTGGGTTTAGTTGGCATTTGTGTTCCTTCATGCATTCTAAGCATTCCAGCTTGTCCTTGCATTTCTTAAGCATATCCTGGTACACATTTTAAAGAATTAACTCTCTAATACTCTGTCTTAAACCTGGGCCCCCTCAGCAATAAACCACAAAGTATTGACTGTGGACCAATGTATACTGATGGTATAATTCCAAATTAGTGGTCGGTGGTGGTGGATTCCTATTTAATAAGTTCTACTGTTCTAGTGGGGCTAGCATTATTTAGAAAAATCTTGAAAAATATATATATAAACTAACTCATTGAATTGGCAATTTTTTTTTTTAATTGTGTCCTCAATTACAAAGTCTCAAGGAGTGATTCGCACGTTCAAAACAGAATCATATAAAAATCAAGTGAGATTTGTAATAAAATCTCCTTTGGCTGGTTTTGCTCTTCTTTAATTCTTAACCCTATTCTTGTTATGCCTTGGGGACCTCTAATTTGTATCGATATATGCAATACACAATTTTTAAATATCGTGTGACTCGAATTGGCAAAATTCATACATTAAAATTGTTTCAAAAACTTTGAATCAGACCATCTCTGTAAAAAAGTAGTAACCATTGAATAGGGTCACTTGTCCTAAACTCTAGTGATTAGCGTATTGGTGGTGAGTGGTGACCTTAAAATCAAGGGATTTTTGGACTGTCCCTCAGAATTTTTTTTTGCAGCCCCCTCCTAATCTATTAATAGAGACCCCCCTATAAACCATATCTTGTCTGTGAATTTGGCATCAATCCACGGACAGGATTCAGTTCATCCCTAGGAAATCCCAGCTCCACTTAAGGGTAGACTGAATCATAAAAACCCCTTAAGATCATTTTGTCATTTTTTTATGACACCAATTGATTGGTTGTAAAATTTTCTAGTATCATGTTTTTTTAGTGTTTTTGTCAAATTCAATGTGTTTTCAAAATCGGATCGGACCGGATGGTTTGACCAGAAAAATTGAGAATCGGTCATCTGATAGGTTTTGTTTCACTCAAAAACCGTCTTTTGGCCAATAACTGTTGATTTGGTCAGCGAATCACTGACTTAGACAGTTGAACCATCAATCTAGACAACGGTTTTTGATCATTTTTTGTTTTTTTTTTAATTTTTTATTTTTATCGGTCAAACTGTTCAACCCCCAGGAACGGACCCAGAACGGTTCCCGATTGGGTCCGATTTTAAAAACCTTGAATTCAATTACCAGTTACCACTGTCCACTTTTATAAGCACACACAGAGGGAGAACAAAGCTTGTGGCTTTTAAGAATTTGGTATGGTGTGAAGTAGCGCGGTGTTAACTGTGAAGGCTCACAAAGTCACAAACATTCAATTCTTAAGGTTCAAGTTTGAATGTTGGCGCCAATAAACCACTTAGTCAAAAAGGAAAACACAATAAGGTGGGCGGTATTCCAACGGTATGAAAAGCAAAAGCTACAAATCGCTTCAGATTTCTTTTGCCTTTTTTCAAAAGCGATGTGGGGGGGGGGGGTCCACGTCAACCTGTCCTCCACGTATCACATCGTCTTTCCACGTTTCCCCTGGTCCCTTCCTCACTACCAAGTACCAAAAGCCAATAATCTTCCTTTCCCAACACCCCGCCCTTACATCGGATCATGGATGGACCCCACTTTTGCTTTTTCCCGCAGCATACACAGACAACCTTCTTGTCCGGATGATTGGCACTTGGCATCTACCGGCTACCGCCCCATCTGGCGGGAAAGCTAGCATATTTCCCGCCAAAAACTGCTCGGGCAGGGCCAGCTTAACTGCCCAAACTGTCATTTTAACCGACTCTTTGATATCGCAACGGTAGTTATGATTGAAGAAAATGGCAAGGGACGACCGGCCGGCCGGCCGGCTGTATTTCGTTCTAAAATGCACATCGGTGATCGGACCCGCGATTTCGTGGCACGACGTGCGACAAAGCGGCGTAAGAAAAACGGCCAGAGTCTTCTCGACCACGTCGGTTCGGGAGAGGCGGAGACTAGAGCAGTTACTACCGGTTTAGCGGAATCTGTGTCCCCCCCACCTTCATTACTTTTCCTGCCGTACATCGCGGCGGGAGCATGCACGTGCTTTCTGGCCTCAGCCTCAGCATCGACGATACAAGAGTCAATAGTTCCGTGTTCCGATGCCTAGCCTCCTAGGCCCCTACGATACACCGAAATTTGAATCATAACTTTGACCGTCGGATTCGTTTCCTCATCCAACGGCCGGAAAACCCTGCTGATCAGCCATTACTGAATCACGACCACTTTAATACAAGCCATAATTCCAACACGTGTCCAGCGTGAAATTTGTTCCATGTCTTGAATGCAACGTAATAAATCGGAGTGCGTGACTCCGCGCCTCCCGGATATCCCATCCAATGAGGAAATGACACGTCATATCAAGATAAACTTTTTTTTGTTTGGATATTTTATTAACAAGACTAAACTGCCCTTGCGTTGAACTTAAAAAGGTGTTTCTCGGATACCTCGAAACAGAACGGCGTCGGAATGATGAATAGATGATGATTAATTAAAAAAGAAAAAATTTTGTTCTCAGGGTCCCTGATTTAGTAGACCATAAAGCACATCTATTAAATCCTCCGTGCAGGTTGCTGCGGAGGACATGTCAGTCGTGTCGTGGTGTGACGGGACGGGAGGCTTCTTCAGAGGGAGATAGGCCCCACACGGATCCTATTAATAGCCATCTGATCTGAGACCGGATCTGTTTTTTACACAGGGCGTCTCACACCGACCTCACACGCTCATGTGTGAGGAGCAGATCCCGTTCCATCTGATCTGTACAGATTCGCATGTGTACCACGTTCGCTGGTGAGTGGTGAGCCTGGGACTAACTACGCTTGTCTTTCACTCAAGCGGCATTTTTTGCATTCCTTCCAAACAGAAGATGATAGCAGGTGAATGATGCTACAGTTTGATCCACCGTCTCGCTTCTCTCTCTCTCTCTCTCTCTCTCCCATTAAGATGACTAATCTGCCCTCTGATTGGTAGGTTGATCAGCTGTCGAAATGGGGTTAGTGATGGGAAAAGTTAGTTATAACGAGCGTGGCGATCAGATATAGGAAATAGGAAACTCAAAAAAAAAAAAGGAATGAAAATCGTCCGAGGACAGACAAGAGAAAAGCCGACACGGACGGCGTGGAGAACATAATTCCGGTCGGCAGATCTCAGCTTATTGGCGAAGCCATCTCGGAGTGGGCCCGTTAACTAGTGACACGTGGATGGACCGGGCCCAAGAAATATGCGCCCTCGGCCCTCCCTCGAGCCCGGTCCATTCTTCTTCTGTGTAGCCAATTGATATTGAGTCGAACGCAAGCAAGGAGGGAAGGAGTAACTGACGAGTTTAAGGTGGCGTCCGAGTTGTAGTAGAGGTGAACCGTCGAGTAAGGGATCCAGAGACACGTGTCGCAAAAAGGTTGCTGTCTTGTTGACCTGGGGATGGGATTGGGATATAGCTGGCGTTTAGAGGGGTTAGGTTAGGTCAGCACTCAGCACTCAGGCGCTCTCAGCATTGTGGTCGGTCATTTAGGGCAGGGGGTGGGGGCAGTGGGCAGAGAGAATCAGACGGCATGTGATCGGCCCGCTTTGCGTAGGGACGTGGTATTTATAAAAGAGTAAATACATACGGAAAAAACGTCTAGTATATATAAATAGGGGAAGACAGAGAGAGCGTGAGTGAGGCGTGCTTTGCGCTTCTATGCTTTAAGAGAGAGAAAAATAGCCACTCTTTTCCTTTTCGGTGGGGGCAAAAGCTGGGCTTCGCTAGGCGTTTGTTGCACAGGTTTGAAATTGGATGAAAGAGAACAGAGTCCTCAAATCTTCGAGACCTCTGGTTTTGCCTGACAAATGTTGATTTCTTCCTCCATGTTGAAGAGAGTTGAGACGAGGAATAGGGGAGCTTGAGATATCTGGTGTCTTTTGGTTTTCCATGGAACGAGTCTCTACAGTGTTGCTATTTTAGTTTTATGTGTTTCTACGGTGAAGTTCTTCGTTTCTGTCGTCGTTTGTTGAGAGGTTTCTATTGGTATTTGAACGGAGGAAGCATACAAGGTTCAGGGGTGCGGGTAAAGTTGGGGAGAACTGAGAAGCAAGGATGGAGTGGCCTTCGAGTTTGGATGAATATGAGAAGCTTGTCATACGGATGAATACTCCGAGGTTAGTCTGGTTTCTGAATGGCAATGTTTTCTTCTTGGAGTCTTCAGGGGATTTCCCCGTTAATACCCCGTTTTTCATTGTGTTTTTTCTTGGATTTCTTTGTTTGTTTTCCGCTTCGAGATGGTTTTTCAAGTTTGAAGCATATTTTATTTCACGGGTCTAGATTCTTTCAAAGCTTTATTCTGGTGAAGAACAGAAGGTTGTTCGCCTTCGACATGGTTTTTCAAGTTTGTTCGGTTTTTCTAATGATTCCGACTTCTCTTCTCTGATTATTTTCAAGGCGTCTCAGATTTAACGCGGGTTTCGATGTCCCCCTTCAATTTATCAATCAATTGAATGCCTAAAATTGCTTAGTATTTATCTCTGCTTTTTCTCAGCAAATGATGAAGTTTCCTTGAACTTACGTCGTCTAAGTCAGCAACTTCTAGTTTAGTTCTCATTTGTTTACACTGGTTTCAGTCCTTCCTTCTGTCTTTTCCGTTCAGTCCAGAAAATATCCCTCCCTCCGCTGTTACTTACTTTTGAAAGACTTCTGTTCTGTTTTTTTGCAACTCGACCATTAACGACAACCTTGTATTCCTCCATTGATTTCTCCTCAAATTTCAGAAAAGTCCTTCCTCTAATTTTTCCTCTTGACTTCCTTGCAGAGTCGTCATCGACAACGCCGTTTGTGCTAATGCGACTCTAGTCAAGGTAAGCTTCTTGGAACCATCCTACCCTTTCCATAAATTAGAAATGAACAGATTAACAGTAACCCTATTCAAAAACATAAGAAATTCATGGGAAGGGCTTCAAAAAAATAGTCCTAGAAGTTTAACCAACCCCTGATCTGTTCTTTTTTACCAGGTTGACAGTGCGAGAAAACATGGAATCCTTTTGGAGGCCGTACAAGTTCTCACAGATCTGAATCTCTGCATTAAGAAAGCATATATATCCTCTGACGGAAGATGGTTCATGGACGGTAAGCAATTAATCAACCAAACCTCTATCTGTTCATTGGTTCCCATTCTAAAATGAGCCGGGCACAGAGCGTACATGCAGCTTTCCATAATTGAATAAAAACTCCTCCTTCCTTTCTCCCCCTAAAGAAAGTTCTTTAATCTCATCGTATTAACTTCCATCCACAGTTTTCCACGTGACCGATCAAAACGGCGAAAAACTCACGGACGAAAGCGTCATCAGCTACATTGAACAGGTAAACCATTAGTTGCTTAGTTCATTCAATTTCCCTTCGTGGGTTTTATTTAATTTTGCCGTTTTTTCTGTTTAAATCGATGTTTTTAACATAACTGACATTAGTTCCTGGTTGTCTGTTACAGTCTCTGGGTACCTGTAACTCTGTGACGTCTAACGGGTTTAAAGATCTCACGGCCTTAGAATTAACGGGTACAGACCGGCCTGGCCTCCTCTCGGAGGTGTTCGCCGTGCTTGCCGAGCTACAGTGCAATGTCGTGGACGCGAAGGTGTGGACGCACAATGGTCGGATTGCCTCCTTAATCTATGTCAAAGACTGTAACTCTGGGTTCCCAATTGAGGACACGCAGAAGATCAATAGAATCGAAGGGCGTCTAAGGAATGTCCTGAAAGGGGATAATGATATCCGAAGTGCCAAGACTGCAGTCTCCATGGCCGTCACCCACACAGAACGCCGTCTACACCAGATGATGTTTGCCGATCGTGACTACGAGCGCAGGTCGAGAACGGAATCCGCCACTCCCTCACCGTCCGTCACTGTTCAGAATTGGGCGGAGAGGGGCTACTCTGTTGTGAACGTCCAGTGTAAAGATCGGTCCAAGCTTTTGTTTGATATAGTCTGCACGTTGACGGACATGGAGTATGTTGTATTCCATGGAACGTTAGACACGACCGGGAATCAAGCATATCAGGTATTCATTTTCTTCATAAAATCAGACCTTGTGGCTTTCTAATTTTTGTTGTATCTGGATGAACTTCAACTCATTTGGTGTTTATTTTACAGGAGTTCTACATAAGACACAACGATGGATCCCCAATTAGTTCAGAAGCTGAGAAGCAACGCGTGATTCAATGCCTCCAAGCTGCCATTGAGAGAAGGACGTCCGAGGTATCGTTAAATTTATCATCACAAAATAGCTAGTAGTAGTAAATTCTTGGCATAGTTTTTTTTTTTTTTCACTGAATCTTAAAAGCTTTTTCTTTCAGGGTGTAAGGTTAGAATTGCGCACAGTGGACAGGTGGGGGCTGTTATCAGATGTAACTCGAACATTTCGAGAGAATGGGCTGAACGTGACGAGGGCGGAGATCTCCACCACGAGAAACATGGCGGTAAATGTGTTTTATGTGACGGACGCGGCCGGTCAACCTGTTGACCCAAAGATAATTGAGGCCGTACGAGAAAGAATTGGGTTTAGCGATCTAAAAGTGAAGGAATCCTCGTCAGTCTGCCACAAGGAGGGAGCTAGGAACGAGACGACGGCGACGACGGTGGCCGGGACTGGCGGGGCGGTGCTGTTGTCACTCGGAAGCCTAGTGAGAAGGAATCTGTACAATTTGGGATTGATAAGATCTTATTCCTAAAACGACATCCCCTAGCAAAAGAAGAAGAAAAGGGTTCCGGCCACCACCTGTAGTATATGCTTTTCTTCAGATTTCAGTCTTTGTACATATTTAAAACGTAAACAAAAAGGAGAGAAAAAAAAGAATAGAAATTATATTTATGGTGGGAGTAGCTGTTCTTGTTGGGTTTGGTTGATTGGGTAATTGGGGCGAACAGGTGGTAGGAGAGGAGCGGAGTGGGCCACTTTTGGTGGAGGGTTGATTCCTATAGGGTGTTGATGGAATGTGGGAGGGATGACGGGATGAGTATAGTGGATGAAAGTTCAAAAGATGAATTTTATACACCACCTATTTTGTACATAACGAATTTGATTGCTACTCTGTTAGATAGTACTACTAATGCTTGACCTTATTTGTGTCCTATCTTGTTCTCTCTCTTTTTATCTCAGTCTCTTTCTGTGATAAATTTCTTTTAACTGGAGAATGTGATCATGATCACTCATAAATTTAGGCCATGGAGGCTTTGAATTTTGGATGGGAACTGGCCAATCTGCAAGAACCAAGTGGGAGAATGACACCTACATGTATGTCCTCGTCTCACTGCAAGCTGACGAAGCCCAAAAGTAAAACACAGTATAATGGGATGGGAGTTGCAATTAATGGTGGTTGAAAGTTGAAAGAACTCTAGATGTAGCACCGGCCACCATCATAAAGACTGAAGAGGGTGTCCCGAGTCCTGACTCCTGTGTAAGCGCAAAATGTGTGGAACTCAAATTGGATAACCTTACCCAACTTCACATCCGCCAAAAGTTAGAAGCCGGAGGCAGTCCCCAGTCCCTACACGGCTACACGTAAGAGTTGAGACTTGAGAGATGAGCCGACACTACTTCTAGCTTAGGTCCTTGCTATTCTGGGTCCTCTAGGTCTACTGTTCCTCTGCTGTGCAGAAAAGAAATTACGACCACATTTCAGTTATGTGGAGATGATGGCCTAACAGTCAAAAATTGAAAAATGATACTATGAGAAGCAGAACTGTTCCTTGTATATGATATGAAGTTGTAAGTTGTAAGCACACAGTCCCGAAGTTGTCAGTGATACATGTTTCAATGAATAGAAAATCCGAATGTGTATCGGAGGTTGAGGTTTAATTATCATCGGAAGCACTGTTCATTATGGACGACCAACTAACATTGCCCAGCTACCAGAGACAGGAGATGTTCTCTCCATGTATTGTAAGGACGGTAAGAGGAGCGCTTTATGAAAAACAGATCCCAATTCATTTTTGTAGTGATGTCGATTTATGTGCACTTCACTGATGGTCCCCACCCACCCCCATTCTATTGGGAAGGGGAAGAAAGAAAATTAAAGGGTGGACTCCGGATTTACTTCTTACAGTGTGCACCTCATATGACCTCATAGCGTCCGTACTTTTACAATCAAAATATAGTTTAGGGTTCGTTTGATTTGCGTTTAGAATCAAAATTGGAATGGTTTATTTTCATAGTCTGTGTTGTTTAAATAAGAATGGGAAAGGGAATTGAAATTAATAGGAATGAGATTTTATTTCCAAGGGAGAGACAGGGAATGGCCATTCCAACAGGAATATAAATGAGATTTTAATTCAATCCAACCAAACAGTTGGAAGAATTGGAATAGCCCTCTCAACTTTGATTCCAGATCCCTATTCCCACAAACCAAATGGGGCCTAATGAATTCACATTGGTGCCCTACATGCACATCTTAACATGCATTGGGAACATCCACAACTGGAATGTGTTGTTGGGCTTTGATAATGTGAACTCATTTTTTAGCATGCATGGGAAATATCTATGATATTTGCATGTTATCATTCATGTAGAGATATTCCCAATGCAGTTTAGATTTATTCTTCCTATGAATAATAAGGGAGATGTTGTCAGATGGCCAAAACTAATGGCGTGTTGGGAAGCATTATTTTAATAGATCCCTACCCTTAATGCATTGTAAGATGTACATATAAGGCGCCCTGTGTGAGGAGATCCGGTCTCCACTCTGATTGCACCGTGCTGTGAGATGGGTGTGAACACTGTAACGCACTTTGTTAGGAGGAAATCCAAATTCCAAGGTTGTGAGTCCGTTGCCCTGATTCCACCGTCAAGATTCTAGACTCGAGACCCGGAGAAATGATCCGACGGATCAACACTGCCCATTTGGTAATGTGTTATTATCCCAACTGTCGGATCGGTTTTGAAAATAGTAGAAATGAAAACAAGAGCAAGAGGATACCTTTGTCTTTTACCAACATTTCGTCATATACAACTCCAAGGAGAAAGAGTGGGCCCCGGGCCATGGTTGAATAATGAGTATTGGTCCGTCCGTACTCCGTACTACAAGGCACCAGCTGGTCCAGCTCAGTTGTTATATTCTTTTGTTTTAGACTTTTAGTTTTGGTTGTATGCGTGTGAATCGGGATATCTGGGGCTGCTTCCTCTTCTCTCTACTTCTGCCTCTGTTGGCTGAGGAGTGAGGCGGTCTGCCTGCCTGGAGGCTGGAGTCTCGTCTCGTGGGAGGGAGACTGCTGTACTCCTTTACGTGGAGACTCATGACTCTCACTGATTCTTTGCCCACCGTGCCCCGGTAAAAGCCGGGTAGCTGAGTTGGCACTTTCCGACACACCACGTCACGTCGTCACCCCCACCGACTACCTTGTCTCGCTTTATCAATTAACTACCAAACCGAATGAAACAGAATCATTTAACTTGCCGCTGAACCCGTTGGATCCCAATCTAATGGTCTTAATTAGCCTGTGCGGGCACAATTGAGATGGAACTTGGAAATGGAAGCCCATGTCTAGTACGGGATCACGTGTACACTGCACCGCTCAGAGGACTCGGCTTTTAATGTAGTAGTAGGTATAGGTGTATAGCCGTGTAGGTTGGCCCTACTCTTTCTCTCTCCACGGCAGATTGGCACTTGGCACATGTTTAGGGGCTCAAAAAGCTTACGTAGCATGGTTTTGTCCCAGGAAATTCGTGCTGGCACTTAGATTTGGCACACAGCTATTAATTGATTGGAGTTGTAGATGCTTAGGAGGATGGATGTCAGTAAAACAGTTCTAGTCGGTAAAGCGCATCTCATTTAATGCTCCACCTCAGGGGATCAACACTCACACACAATCTCCATCAGTCCTTCGCTTTGAACCGTTTTCTGTTCTCCCAGGTTCAAGTGGGCTTGTGGGCTCTCTTGCCAGCTCTGCCCAGGGACCAGAGCTGAGCCCCACCACAGGCCCACTACAGTCAACTGAGCATCACTCTTTTATGATTTTATCTCCTCCACAGCAGCAGTCTTGAGTCATGACCCACACAATGACACCAGTCACGCTCCCTCCAGGCTTAGCCTGGGCTGGAATCCACCCAATCCCAAATACTAGGTTCTTAAGTAATTACTAAATCCGGTTATGGTTGGTAGCCAGGATTAACCCACCCACCTACCATATAGCCCATTAGGCAGCCATGTTGGTTGGGGAAACTCAGCCATCGAGTCAACTCGTGTCTCATTCCCTGTTGTTAATGTTGGTTTCTATTTGTATGTGAAGAGTGAAAACCCCCGAGATGCTAAAACTGTTGATTAGCCTATTGATGTAGGGTGATTTGGCCCGACCTAATAATAGGGGGATATGTGGATACGATCTAATTAGTAGGATGACAGCTCAGTCCGATGCGCTAAGTCTGTAAGGGATCAAGCTTGGATGACCAATCCACTTCGGGGTGAGTCCACCTCAAGATGAGTTCTCCTCAGTGCAAGGTCACATTAGGACTACCTCGATCCCAAGGCACTTCGGCATTCATACCAGGTCGGATTTAAGGAATACTAGATCGGGTAATACTGACCGACCATTGCATGGCAACCCCGAAGATCTCATCACCAGATTCCGCGCCTCACGGGATCATACCTCGTAACAGCTAGCATTATCTCCCCCGTCCGATTCAGGCGGAAGTGGTGAACCTTATTAGTTGGCAGCGTTATCCTCAATTAACGCGGAAACGGACCTCATCGTGACGAGGATCCTGGAGCCACTCCGCGAAGCCCGCGAGAACTCTATTATATAAAGGCTCCACCCCCCGAGGGTGAAAGGTATGCGTGATTTCCTACTCTCAAGCTCTCTCATTTTCAAACAATTTTAGCTCGCTATTAATCTATTGACTTAAGCATCGGAGCGACCTCGCCGGCTTAGCATCCCAGGGTTCTCTGATATCCTTGCAGGTTCAGTCTGCCGTCTGTCTGAAAGCCAGGTCACCTCCAACTGGGAGCAGCCAGATCACACTTAATCACCTATCTCAAAGCAAAGATTCTCTTAACGTTTTAACAAACTTCCACTTGACGTAAAGAAAGCACTTCTTAAGGTATCATAGAAAAAAAAAAGAAGAAAAATCTTCATCAGGATCAGTTAGGACGCTGTTGTCTACTGGGCACCAAACTAGATTCTTTGTATCAGATGCCGAAGCATGCATTGCTTTAGTCTCTCTCTCTCTCCCACTGTTAATGGCTTCTACAGGTTTGATATAATTGTGTCTTCTGGTTGACTGCTCATTTGCTCTGCACATATCCCCTTTCCTTAAGCATCGAAGAACTAAGAAAAAACCAAAAAGGCAGGAGAATAAGAACATTAAGGAAATTAGTTCAGACTGAATATTGGAATCACTCTTGGATTCATTTCATACTACTATAACGGTATAACGTCATGGGAGTTGACTGTAGAGTCGGAACCAGTAGACTTCGATGAATCCTGGCTTGTTTGTGAGCTGCTGGTTTCTGATTTTCTCTGGTAGGAGGAATCTCCCTGATGAATGTCTTAATTAATGGTCCAACTTGGTTGGTAGATTGAGGATCAAGATTCCTGATTTGGGAAGTCTCATTTTCACACCTGGACCGGAGATTGAATCAATTTGGTTAATGCTCCAACTTTTGGCTCGATTGCGCCTGATTAATTGGTTTAAAATAAAAGGCTTAAACAAATGGTCCATATCAAGTTTTCTAAGAACCGGGTATCCAAAACATTCTACTGGGTCATGGGTCTGATGGTCCGACCATTCGGTTTGGCCAAGTCAACATTTCCAATCCCGATGGTCTGACCGTTTGGTCCGATTCGAGTCTGACAACAGTGGGTAAACTTCATTATTTTGGCACGTTAATTATTAGCAGAGAGAGAGAGAGAGAATCGTGTTATCCATGAAGTGTATTATGCAACAATTCTGAGTTCCACTATTGCAAATGGGTGGACCATGTCAGCGACACAAAATATGCAGAGCTTAATTGATGCTCCAACAACTATCTGATTCAGACATTCTGAGCCGAAATGTCAAACCAACAAGATGAACCTAATCATTTGATGAATCGGATTCCAAAGAAGCAAAACCAGCAATTGAGGTTTGG